ACTTCTGTATTTCCTCCATATTTACCTTTTCAAGCCATCTTCACATTTGCTTTTGTTGTGTCGTCTGTCCCTCGTTTGTTCTATCAGCCGTGTTAACCTCCTCCTCCTTCTCTCCTCTTCTTCCTCTTTTTACTCCTCTCTTTTTTCCTACGCTAGCTTTTCTTCCTCTCTTTCCTCGTCTCTCTCCTTCTCCTTCTCCTTCTCCTTCTCCTTCCCCTCTTCGACTACCTACTATTCCTTCTCCTCTCCTCCTCCTTCTTCTTCAGTTTCATCTACCCCCCACTTTCCTTTCCCTTCCTCCTCTTTCTTTTCCCTCCTCATCCTCACATCCTCTTCTCCCTTCATTTCTCCCCCTCTTCCATCTCCTCTTCTCTCCTTTTCCCTCTCGCGCCTTCTACTTTTTCCCGTCCTCCTCCTCTCCCCCTCCTTCTAACCTTCATTCTACCCTGTTCATCCTCATCTTCCTCACTCCTCTCCCTTCCTGTCTCTCCATCCTCTCCTCCTCCTCCTCCCTTCCCTACCTCCCCTTTCCTCCGCCTCCCGTCCCTCCTCTCCTTCTTCTAACCTTCATTCTCCCCCTCTTTTCCTCCTCCTCTCCCTTTCCTGTCTCCCCCTCCTCCATCTCCCATCCTCCTCCTCCTCTCCTCCTCCTCTCCCCCTCGTCCTCCTCCCCCGTCCTCCTCCTCCTCCTTCTAACCTTCATTCTCCCCCTCCTCCTCCGCCTCCTCCCCTCCTCCTCCTCCCTCCGCCTCCCCTCTCCTCCTTCCCCGTCCTCCTCCTCCTCCCGTCCTCCTCCTCCTCCTTCTAACGCTTCATTCTCCCCCTCTTCCTCCTCATCTCCTCCTCCTCTCCCTTTCCCTTCCTCACCCCTCCTCCATCTCGCGTCCCCTCCTCCTCCTCCTCCTCTCCCTTCTCCCTCCTTCCCCCGTCCTCCTCCTCCTCCTTCTAACCTTCATTCTCCCCCTCTTCCTCCTCATCTTCCTCCCCCTCACCCTTCCCTACCTCCCCTCTCCTCCTCCTCCTACCGTCCTCGCCCCCTCCTTTTTCTAACCTTCATTCTCCCCCTCTTCCTCCTCATCTTCACTCCTCCTCCTCCTCCCTTTCCTGCCCCCCCTCCTCCTTCTCCCCCCCCTCCTCCCTCCCCTTTTCCTCCTACAGGGGTCACCGACAGAGTTCAGAGCCCTCTCATCTCTTGGTTTACAGCTCTCCCTCCCCCCCTCGCACTCCCCTTTGCTCCCTCCTCTCCCCCCCACACACATAACCCCTCCCCCTGCTCCCCCAAAGCGGTCAGCAAGCTTATCAACATCTCTCCTTCCCTTTCTTGCCACCAACACTCCTGCCCCTTGTTTTATTTACGTCTTCGTAGAACATCAGGCGCTTGTTCTCCTCTCTTCTCGGATCTTTTCTCCTCTTGTCTTTTTCTCCTCTTGTCTTTTCCGCCTCTTGTTCTTTTCTCCTCTTGTTCTTTCTGTCTCTTGTTCTCCTCTCGGTCGGTGGTGTTATCTTCAGTTTTGCGATAACTGGTGTAAAAAGTTTCTTTTTATTTTTCATTCTTTTATAAATCTCTTTACGACGGACAACTCAACATGGCTTCCTTCTTCGCCTTAGCTTCAGGGGGGGGATACAAGATATCATGATGGCCTTCGAACGCCTATCCCCTTGTGTTTAGACCGGTGACTTTTAGTTATACTTTCTGAGACTTTGCTTTAGTGGGTGTCTTTATTAACGATTTCCCACACGCACTACCCTTTATTGTCTCTTCCTCCTCCTCCTCCTCTTCTCTCTTCTCTCTTCTCTCTTCTCTCTACTCTCTTCTCTCTTCTCCCTTCTCTCTTCTCTCCCTCCCCTCTCCTCTATCTCCACGTCTTCCTCCCCCTCTTCCTTTCCCTTCCTCCTCCTCCTCCGTCTTTCGTTTTCATTCATGGGGAAAATTCGCGGTCTTTTTTATCGCTGTTCGTCGGTTTTTACTGCTTTCTCCCTCTCCCCCTTTCTTTTCTCTTTTTTTTTTGTACATGCATAACAAGGCTTCTTATATTGTGTACACCACTCGCCTCGTCTTCTAATTTATCTTGTTGTACGCTTGCTGTCAGCTTCTCCTCCGCTCCTCTCGCTCCTCTCTCTCTCCTTTTTTTGTTTTGTTTTTTCCTCTCTCTCTCTTCTCCTCTCTCTTCTCTCTCTCTCTCTCTCTCTCTCTCCCTCCCTCCGCTCCCTTCCTCCCCTCTCCTCTCCCTTCCTCCCTCCCCCCGTCCCCTCCCTCACCTCCCTCCCCTCTCTCCTCCCTCCCTCCTCCCTCCCTCCCTTCCTCCCTTCTCCCTCACCTCCTTCCTCCCTCCTCCCTCCTCCCTCCCTCTCCCTCCCTCCTCTCCCTCCCCCCTCCCTCCCTGCCCTCCCTCCCTCCCTTCCTCCCTCTCCCTCCCTCCTTCCTCCCTCCCTCCCTCCCTCCCTTCCTCCCTCGCCCTCCCTCCCTTCCTCCCTCTCCTTCCCCCTTCCTCCCGTCCCTCCTCCCTCCTCCCATTCCTTCCCACTTGCCTCAAGTCATTCTCCCGCCTCCCCTCACATCCTCCTCATTAACGCTCACACTTCCTCCCTCTCCCTCCATCCTTCACTCACCGTTTACTCACCCTAGGGCAGTGTCTAATCCCCTTTCCCTCCTACACCCTCGCGGTCTACTGTAACCCCCCCCCCCTACTTCTTTCCCCTCTCGCTATGTCCCCTCATCCCGCGCTTTTCTCACATCATACCACAAGCACTGGTCTTTTCCCGCGTGTTCTTTTTTTCCTCTTTGTTTTTTGGTCTGTTTTATCTTTCTCTCTTCCTCTTTCTCCTCCTTTCTCTTCTTCTTCCTTCTTGCTTCCGTCTTCTATCTCTCGTCTCTCTCGCCTCCTCTCTCTACCCTGGTCTGTCTCTTGTATCTCTTTGCATTTTCTCTTCCTTTTTCACTCATGTCCCCCCTTTCTCCTTCTCTCGCCTCCCCCCCCCACCCCTCTTCCTTCTACGTCTCCTCCCTCAAACTCTCTTATCCTCCTCCTTCTCATCGTCCTCTCCTCTCCTTCTATCCCCCCTCTGTCTCCTTATTACCCACCCCCTCCTCCTCCTCCTCCTGCCTTCCTCTTAACCGCCCCTCACCCCCTCACCCCCCTCCTCCCACCACCTCCTCTTACCCACCCTCTCCACCTCCCCCCCCCCCCATCTCCTCCTCCTGCCCTCCTCCTCCTCCCCCACACCCCCCCCACCCCCCCCACCATCTCCTCCTCCCTCCTCCCTTCCCTCTCTCCCTCTCTCTCTCCCTCTTCATCCCTCCGTCTCTCCTCCTCCCCACCATCTCCCCCCCCCCCCCCCCCATCAGTCGGCGTCCCCTCGGCCCATCATTACAGAACCGTTGGGATTTTGCTTACTCTTCGTCC